CGCTGCAGCAGCTTCGTTGGGTCCTTCTCTTTGGCGCCCACTTCTTTGCTGGTTTTCGGGCTGCCCTTTCCCTCAGAGCTTGCTGGGCTGATGGAATGGACTCTCCATGCTCTCCCCACCCTTGCAGGGGACAGGATCAAGCCCAGGATTCGGGTGCAGGATGAGGCTGCTGCCATCGAGGTGCTGCAGGGACTCAGCAGCTCAGAGTCCCCCTGGGTGGGTGTTGGGGTCCTCCCAAGGGCCCCCAGACTCATCCAACACCCACCCCATTCTGCAGGTGCGGATCTGGGAGATCCCCGAGGGTGGCCTGAAGAGGAACATGACGGAGGCGGTCCTGGAGCTGTACGGGCACAGCCGGCGCGTAGGCCTCGTGGAGTGGCACCCCACCACCAACAACATCCTCTTCAGCGCCGGCTACGACTACAAGGTGAGCCCTGCCCGGCCTCGCTCCTTGCTCCCCAGGGCTGCCCTCGCAAAGGCTTTCCCTGCTCCTGGGACGGGTGGGTGCAGCCAGAGCAGGATCCTACTGCCTGGAAGAAAATGAGCCACTGTACCAGCACGGATGGCACCGACCCTCGTGCAAGGGTCTTGCACCCGGTCACAAGGACCATTTTAATTTGGCACAAGCTGCAGCTTCAGAGCAGCCCTGGGTGGAGGGAAGGTGGGTGATGAGGGGCCGATTTCAGCCAAAATAGGAGATGCTGAGATGCCTGAAGCAGATGTGGAGGTTGCAGGAGGGATGCAGGGGTCTCCAGGAATTGGAGATGCCAGGGCAGTCTCCCCCTTTCCCTGCAGGTCCTCATCTGGAACCTGGACATCGGGGAGCCGGTGAAGATGATCGACTGCCACACGGACGTCATCCTCTGCATGTCCTTCAACACCGACGGCAGCCTCCTGGCCACCACCTGCAAGGACAAGAAGCTGCGGGTCGTGGAGCCACGTTCCGGCAGGGTCCTGCAGGTGTGGTGCTCATGACGGGGGGCTGGGTGTGGTGTGGGATGGGGGGTAGAAATAAGATCTCGGGGAGGAATCCTACTGAAACGTGTAAAAACGTTTGCAAGGTACTGTACAAACTCTTCCCGGGGCGGGTGGGGAGCACTGGGACATGTTCCCT